CCTTTTGCAAGCTTTCTCGTAGACTGCCTCAACAGTGTCCACTTCCAGGTCCCTGTGGATGGTGTCGTTACTCACATACCATGGTGCATTGCAGATCATGCGAAGGGTCTTGTTTTGCTCAACCTGAATCCGTCCAAATTCCGCGCTGCTGGATAATGGACCCCATACAGCCAATGTGTACTGCCAGATAGGTGCAATCATTTGCTTGTACAACATGACCTTGGTATCGAGATTCAGTTTGCTGCTTGAGTTTAGGAGCCAGCGCAGTTTTTGGACCCTTGCCCTGACCTTTGTGATGACGTTGGTGATGTGTAGGTGGAACTGGAGCTTGGCGTCCAGCTTGACCCCCAAATACGAGTGCACAGCGATGCTACTAATCCGCTGGTCAGCAATGTGCGGCTGCAAATCAGCCACTGGCTGTTGGATCGCGCGCAATGTATGCACTAAATGCACAGTTTTTGAGGAATTGATGGTGATGCCCCATTGCTTTGCCCAGTTGGAGATGCTCAGTAGGAAACGGTTGAGCTTTTGGGTAGCCATGAGCTGGTTCATGCCAGTGGCCAGGATTGCTGTGTCGTCGGCATAAGTGGCCAAGAGCATACCACTGTCGCGAGGAAGCGGCTTGTCGTATGTGTACAGATTATATAGTACAGGTCCAAGTACGCTGCCCTGTAGAACGCTTGCTGCAATCATTTTGTTTCCTGATTTGACGCCGCCTGTGCATTCCACGTAGAAAGACCGATCATCCAAGTAGTTAGACAAGACCTTATATATCGCTGCCGGTAACAACTGCTTCATCTTATGTTTCAGGCCCGCATGCCAGACTCGATCGAAAGCATCCTGAATGTCCATATAGATGGCAGAGCAGTACAGGTTGTTCTCGTAGGTGGACAGGATGAGCTTTGTGACTCTCCCCAATTGGTGTTCAGCCGCGTGCACATGTCTGAAGCCAAACTGATGGTTTGGAATAGACTCAACAAATCCATCAGCTTCCATCATCCTGGTTAGGATAAGTCGCTCAAACAGTTTGGACAGGCCCGAAAGCAGGCTGATGGGTCGATAAGATGGCAGCTTATCGGCGGGTTCCCCTGGCTTGGGGATCATACTGACTGCCGCGTGCTTCCATCTGTTAGGGAAACAACCAATCCTAAAGGAGCTGTTGCATATGAGCGCGAAATATAGTAGAGCAGACTTAGGTAGAGCTTTTATGGTCCGATTGTCGATCCTGTCCATTCCAGGGGCCTTTTTCAGCTTTAGTACCTTGATCTGTGCCTCAATCTCAGGAAGAGTGACCGCCCTGAAGCCCGAATTGGGCCCAGGGGATCCAAACTCTTCAAGGGACTCTTCGATGACTCGTCTGTCGGCTGCCGCGCTGGTCAAAACAGGCTTAAATCTCTGCTCGAGATGCAAAGCAAAAGACTCTGCCTTCTCCTCGGTGCTCTTGCACCAGGGATCGTCAGCATTATCCTCTCCATCGGCACAAAACTTCCTCACAGGCAAATTGGCTGCTGGCTGCCGCTTCAAACCATTAGTCAGCCTCCATAGCTTCTGCATGCTGTAGCGATCGGTAGGGTCAATTAAGCCAATAATGGCGTCAGCGCGTCTGGCTTTGCCCGCTTCTAGCTCCTTGTGAATCCTATTGGCAAGCATGTTGTACAGCTGTCGCGCTGCCGCGTCATGGTTCCGTTTCAGGTTCCTCAGGCGCCTCTTGGTGGCAATCATCAGCCGTATGCGATTGCTGACCTGGTACTCAGCCTGGACTCTAGGTCGGACGGGCCTCCTCAGACTGCTTGTGGCATGTTCGGCTGCCGCTAACACGTTCCTCTCAAGGATATTGTCTGCATCATCAACATCCTCTGCTGACCTGAGCTCAGTGTTCAGATGGATGTGCGAGTCAAGCCATGATTGGAACCTCGAAATGCTAGCCCCTGGGGGCAAGAGGCGTCTCTTAGTCACCGCCTCCGCTGGAGACATGCTCAGCTCAATCACCATTGGGAGATGATCAGAAGAGAGGTCATTTAGATGGGATATATGCAGTACTTCGTCCCTCACGCCCTTGTAGACCGCGAAGTCAATTGCCGATGGTGTATGCCGAGTATTTGTACGGGTAGTGAGTAGGATATCCAGTGGCCAGAATGTTGCAGCTACTTTTCTGAACGGCCCTGAGCAGCTGTCCGCCTCTTCTACAAACCCTTGCGCTTCCCCACCATGAGTTCTTCGCATTCCAATCGCCAGCAGCAACGAATCTCGTTGCCAGCTGACCAAACAATGCCAAGAAGTCGTCCTCGGACCACTCCTGCAATGGGGGGCAGTAAATGGATGAGAACACTAGTCGGCCGCCATCAGGCAGGGTCAGGGCAGCAGATACACACTGAATGTGGTTTGTTGCTATATTAGGCAGGGCAATATGAAGGATTCCAGCTCTGATTAGGAGCAGGGATCCCCCACGACCAGTCCCAGATGGGTGATTAGCACTGTACGTACACTTAACGCTGAAGGTCTCTGAGGTTTTAAAACGAGGCTCAGAGACCATCAAAACGTCAACTTCGTGTCTGCGTGTAAATGCCGCAAGTTCGGCTGTCTTCACTCGGAGTCCCGAGGCGTTCCAAAATACAATCTTTAGATTGCTGTGTTGGCGGGTAGAGTAAATAGCATTATTATTATAATGCATATAAACAATCCGTTAGCTTCGTCATTTGTGCAATTAATACATCCATTTTCCCTTCTAGTTTCTGAGTAGATTCAGCAGCAGCGGCCGCATGCTGGATCCGCTCCTGTGTCAGCAATGTGATGAGGTAGTCCAGTTTCTGACTGAGTTCATCGCTAGGACGGACGCTCTGATTGCTCACCGTGCGCTGGAATCCAATTGTGGTCGCTGTGGGTGGCACCGACTGCCATACTTGCCTCCCTGGAAGAGGCTGGGAATGACTCGCTGGCTGCCTTGTGCGAAGGGCCTCAGCATAACTGCTCATCTGAGCTGGAGGAGCAGGAGCTCTTGCCCCTGAGCGCGCTCGCCGGCGGCCCGGCTGCTGCAGTGCTGGAAAGCCCTGCTGGTTCATGACGGGTGGCTGGCGGGGAAGCCGCAAACCCTGAGCGGAGGGTAAGGTAGGCATCGAAAGCTTACTCAACATCCTGTTGGTCTTTTCTCATCCGTTATTCCTTCTGTTGCAGTACTCTTTGTATTTGATACAACCACGGTAGCTGGCAACATGGGGACCATTACAATTGGCGCATTTCGGCACATCCTCCCGCTTCTTGGGGCAGTCCTTGGGGTCATGCTTCTCCCCACACTTCAGGCATATAACTGCACGGCTGCAGTAGTTCTTGGAGTGCCCAAACATCTGGCACTTGTGGCACTGGGGAACGCCTGGCGCGCGTATGGGCTTCTCAACCTTGATCCGTTGGCTGCAAATTCCCGTTAGCTCATAAATACTATTATTATTGTCCTGAGGCTCAAGCTGGACCTCGAATAGGTCCAACGGCTCCTTTGTGAATCTTTTAAGTATATTGGCAATATGCCTCACCTTGTATCCAAGTCTACCGAGCTGTTCGCGCACCCAGTCTGTGGGTGTGGAGCGGTGCAGGTGACGTCTGACGATACGCATACCCCTTTTGCTTCGCAGGCGAAATGTATGGTGATCCACACCTTCCCCCTCAGATAAGAGCGAATTAGGGCCCTATGGCCATCTATTGTATGGCACATGACTTTGAGAGACCTATTAGCAGCAGGCTTAGTGTCATATGTGCCTGCGCCAATGGCATTGTCAAAGCATTGGAGCAGGGGAAAGATATCAGAAACATTAGGAATGTATATAGGGGCTGGCCGCACAATTCTGGCGTCAGCAGTAGCAGCAGCATTGGGTGCGTGCGCAGTGGTAGGGGCAGGCGGGGGGTGGTGTGAGAAGTGGAGGGCCTGTTTGTGGGAACAGGTTCTTCGGCTTCCGTCTCTCCCTCGCTGCAGTCAGTGTCAACATCCATATCGTCGTTTGCTAAGTCGTCAGCATCCGAGAGTATATTGTAGTAGTTCGTTATATTCATCTGGTTAGAGTCAGGCTTCTCCTTGGAGGATACTGTCCGTTTGATCTTCTTGGCCGACGCCTTTGTAATCGGCGAGCCCAAGGTGGTCGTCCGCTTCTTGTTACGGGCCTCAGACTCCGCATTCAGCTTAGCCATTACTTTCCTCTCCCTTGCCAATTTCTCCTGCTGTTCCTTGAGGATCTCGTACAGAGTCGGCTGGCTCAGCACAGGTGCTGCAAGGGCAGTAGGATTGGTGGAGACAGTAATGGCAGAACTGCCAGGGGCACAGGTAGCAGTCGAAGCAGCAGCACGAGCAGCACCAGTAGAAACTGGAGGACGTTGAGCGGCGTGGGCAGCTACACCAGCAGCACTAGCAGTAGTAGGAACTGTAGCAGCTGGAGGGCGTTTAGCTGCGGCGGCAGCTACGCGAGTAGGGGCGGTGGCTTTGGCAGCAGCAGGAATGGCAGCACAGGCAGTAGCAGCAGAGGCTCTGGTTAGCATGGCAGAGGGGGGGGCTAGCAATGGCTTGCTTGACAGTGCAGCGGACGGGGCCTGCATCAACTTGGCTGCAGCGGCAGCTGAAGTTGATGGCATATCACTGGTCAAATCTGCCAATGAGGTCGAGCGACAGGAAAGGGGGCGTAAATCACTCTGCGAAATTCCCGACATTAGTAGCGGGGGGGAATGCAGATCGATTTCGTTGTCTGAGCAGGGAGCACTTGAGGCCAGAGTGGTCTTCTTTTTGGATTTGGGGCACGGTTTACGTACCATTGTTTGTTCTTTTGCAGCTTTATTAGCGCAAAGGCAAGTGTGTATATGTGGGAGGGGGAGGGGTCAGCAGCGGCTGAAGCCTACCCCACGTTTTTTCACTTTCGGCACTTTGGTTATGTAGTATGTGTATTTCAGAGAAAAACTTGTGCACGGCACAACACTTCGCGTTGCCCCGAAATGTTTTAACAGAATATTGCACAGTGTTTACTTACACATGTTCAATATTATTAGGGATTTTTTGGCGATTTTGATGGTTTAATTTTTAATAATTGCGGAACGTTTTGATTTTTTCTGTTGTGTTCGTCTTGCGAACTAAATTGGCAGTCTCTCTTCATGTCGAACCAGTCCCATCGCCACCTGCATTAGCAGGGGGGGAGGGAGGCTGACATGAAGAGAGAACCGTTTTATTTGATTATACCACTAACCATACAGTATATAGATGTGCCAGTTCATACAACGAAAGTGTCACACACCGACTTCCGCTATCCGTACCCCAGAGTGACGTCATCATGAGTGAGAGAGCGCAGAGAGAACATCTTTGCATGTGTTAGTACACACGCAATATGTTTCGACAAAAATATGTGATTGTATGTTTTTTCAGATTTTTTGAACTCTCTCAGGTCTGATCTGTTTTGCCACCAGCATGTTTTAGTGTATGGGTGCACATGCATTCTCACGTACTTTGCGTGTGTGTGTTTACTATTGCTGGCCGCTAGAACTGAAATTTGAGTTTGGTTCTTGTTTCGGGTCTTTTGATGGACTGACCTACCGCCACAAAATAAATGAAGAATGGGCAGGGGGTGGGGGTATGGTACACTAGGGCGCGGGAAACAAAATAAAAGCTTATTTGTTATTTGTTTGATTTATACCACAAAATATAAAATATTACAATAATATAATTACACATTTATTTCCTTATTTTAAACAGGTTGATTATAAATTATAAAAATTATGCAAACGCCGTCGGTTCTCGACGTTTTTGTTTATTATAACTAAAACAATGATGTATCTAAATATACAATATAAGAAAATATATATATATACTTAAATAAATATGCATAAATATAAATGGAATTGGTTTTACATATATTTCAAATCAATTGTCAATCGCGCGCTTTCCGACGGGAATCTGCAAAGTACAAATTTAGATGCCGGTCGCACCTTGAATACTCTCATGGACAATACCCATAAATTTTCTAATTCAATTATAAAATATCTTATGTACATACATATGCACATAAATATTAAAGTTTATTACATTCGTATATTGCATGAGGGTTTTCAAAATTACTGCTGCCCGGTCAGCGTCGAGTCGGTGTGTCTCGAGAGAAAGAATACAAAAACAAAATATGAATCGTCTGCGTGCTGAAACCGTAGGGCAGCGTGGTCGCTGATGTCTTTGGCGCGGCACAGTGGGGACTCAGCCGAAATAGTAAAAAAATTGTATGAGTGCTTTAGATAAATTCTGATAGAGAATTTTCCAATCGAATTTTCCCACTGTGCCGCTCCAAAGACATCGGCGATCCGCGCCCACCGCTTCGACGGTGCTGAGGCTCGAGAGTCCAGAATTGCCGAACAGACGAAACCGATGGGCAGCGGGGTCGCGGTAGAGACGAAGTACAGGCGAAAAGGGAATTGGAAAACTAAATTTGTACTTTGCAGATTCCCGTCGGAAAGCGCGCGATTGACAATTGATTTGAAATATATGTAAAACCAATTCCATTTATATTTATGCATATTTATTTAAGTATATATATATATTTTCTTATATTGTATATTTAGATACATCATTGTTTTAGTTATAATAAACAAAAACGTCGAGAACCGACGGCGTTTGCATAATTTTTATAATTTATAATCAACCTGTTTAAAATAAGGAAATAAATGTGTAATTATATTATTGTAATATTTTATATTTTGTGGTATAAATCAAACAAATAACAAATAAGCTTTTATTTTGTTTCCCGCGCCCTAGTGTACCATACCCCCACCCCCTGCCCATTCTTCATTTATTTTGTGGCGGTAGGTCAGTCCATCAAAAGACCCGAAACAAGAACCAAACTCAAATTTCAGTTCTAGCGGCCAGCAATAGTAAACACACACACGCAAAGTACGTGAGAATGCATGTGCACCCATACACTAAAACATGCTGGTGGCAAAACAGATCAGACCTGAGAGAGTTCAAAAAATCTGAAAAAACATACAATCACATATTTTTGTCGAAACATATTGCGTGTGTACTAACACATGCAAAGATGTTCTCTCTGCGCTCTCTCTCTCATGATGACGTCACTCTGGGGTACGGATAGCGCAAGCCGGTGTGTGACACTTTCGTTGTATGAACTGGCACATCTATATACTGTATGGTTAGTGATTATACTCTTAAAATTAGCATATTTTACAAATAGTTTCGCGCCGGCTGCTTATCTACATTACATGTAGTTGCAGAAGTGGCTGTAAATTGGCAGGGTAACATTTGTTACGGTATTGGCTTATTTGGTATTTTTTGGTAGGTATCGATAGTTTGGCTAAATGCCAGGGTAACACTAAACTTATTGCTACTTTGTTTACATTATTTTAATTGTTTTTAATTTGTTTTCAGGTGGAGTATGCAGCCGTGAAGAACATCATTACGCCTATTGGTCTCGTCGTCAGCTGCGAAGTGGAATCCTTGCGAGTGTCGGCGCTAAACTGGGACTGCAGGACAGCATCAACAGGGCTGAAGCTGGCCGAGGTCCAGTGCATCGTCATTCTGGATGTGGATTACGATTTTCTGTGAAGGTGAGTGGATTCGTATCTGTGGAAGAATAAAAGGGGTTTTAGTTTCTTTTCAGCCGCCGCCATCATCTGGATTCTGGAGCTGCCGCCGTTCATCATCAGGTTCTCTGCTGGGGCCGTCATTTGCCTGCGTAGCAGCTGCATTTGCGCTACTACGGCTGATTTCCATGTTGTGTGTTGCAAATGGATTGCGCAGCCAGTTCTCGCGTCTGACTTGGAGCAGTATTGTTTGGATGGCTGTCAGGCTTCTGTTGCTGTTTGGATTGTGCTCTTCAATCATTGCGGCATACCTTGGCCTGGCCAGCCTTCTTGGAATGTATGGATGCGTTGCGATCTCACAGGCAAGTAAGTTTGTGTGCTGCATTAGCCGAGTGTAGTAGTTCCTGCAGAGTCTGTTAAAAACTTCTTCCACAGTTGCTACTTGGAGATCCGCATGCAGTGCGTTGTTGCTCATATCCATTTGTATTCCCAGGTATGGCATGACGGATTTTTTGGCCAGGAGTTGCCCGGCTAACCTTGGAGCTGGAGTGTGTTGCTGCGCAGGTGAGAGAGTGTGTAGAACATGAGCAGTTTTTGCAAGACTGATGGTTATTCCCCATTTCTTAGACCATGATAATGCATCAGCCAGGAGCCGCTCCATATTTTCGTTGGCTTGTTTTGGACTCAGGGCAGATACGAGGTATACTGCGTCATCAGCGTACGTTGCTAGCATTTGGGTTGCGTTTGCGTGTCTTGGTGGCTGCGGCATGTCGGCAGTGTAAAGATTGTAGAGCACTGGGCCAAGTACGCTTCCTTGCGGCACTCCAGCGGTTATGTGCTTTAGGCTTGAGGTGATGTTGTTACAGCAGACGACTTTTATTTTTTTATTTATCGTTTTAACTTTGCAGAGAAGACCCTGGTGCCAGACTCTATCAAAAGCTTCCTGGATATCCATGTACACGGCACTGCAATGTCGCTGCGCTTCGTAGGATCTGAGGATAAATTGCGTGACTCGTCCGATTTGCTGTTCCGCTGAGTGCTGAGTTCTGAAGCCAAATTGATGGTTTGGAATAGCCATGGCAAAGCTTTCTTCTTCAAAGAGTCGCTTGAGGATGAGGCGTTCGAGGATTTTGGAGAAGCCTGTAAGCAGGCTGATGGGTCTGTAGGACTCAAGCCTATCACTCGGCTTTCCTGGCTTCCTTAACATTGAAATTTTTGCGCATTTCCAGAACTTTGGGAAGTGGCCGAACTGCAGAGCCGAGTTGCATATCAACAGCAGATACTCGATGGCGGATGTTGGCAGAGATTTAATGACGCGATTGTCGATGCTGTCGAAACCGGGTGCCTTTTTCGTCTTGAGCTTCTTAATTTCCGATTTGAGTTCCTGGATGGTTACAGGTCTGATTATTTGAGCAGCTACATCTGGACCGTTTTCTTGTAATACTGCGTTAATTTCTTCTCTGTCTTCTAGGGCTGCCGTGATCTTTGGCGTGAAACGTGCTTCCAGGTGCTGCGCAAAGGCCTCAGCTTTTTCCTCCGTAGTTTTGCACCAAGGATCAGCAGGAGCTTGCTGCCCTTCCGCCACGTGCCTCCTGACTGGCAGATTTGGAATGGGCTGTCTCTTGATTGTATTGGTGAGCCGCCATAGTTTCTGCATACTGTACCTATCAGTTGGGTCGATGTCGTGTAACAGTCTGTTCATTTGTTTGTCTTTTTGCAGCTTGATCCGTTTACGTATTCTGTTAGTCAGCTGATTGATAGTGCGTGCAATGAGGGGGTTGGAGCACCTATCTCTTTGGTTGATTTTGCAGAGTATTCTTTTGATCTTGATCGCTTTCAGCGTTTGCGAGTCAAGATGAAGGTTTTGCGGTCCGTACACTGTGTGCTGGTTACTTGAGGCTTGCGAGGCCAATTCAGCTGCAAAAAGAACATCTTTTCAAGGATAGCCACTGCATCGTCTGTCGTCGCCGTTGTGAAGTTCAGTCTCCAGATGGATTCGCTGTTCAAGGTGAGCTTGAAATCTTCTGATATTTGCATTTTTTGGTAATAGTATCTTCTTTTTTCCATATTCAGGTCTCAGGAGGAGTCTAATGATTTGCATGTTGTGATCTGAACCTAAATCATATGATGTTTCGATGTGAATTAAATTGTGTCTAATACCCTTATAAACCGCAAAGTCTATAGCAGACGGCATATGTCGTCGATTTGAAGGGAAATGGGTGGGGGATCCAGTGGCCAGTATGCTTTGGTCGTTTTCCTGGATGCATTTCAGAAGTGCAGCCCCTCTTCTACAGGATCTTGCATTGCCCCACCACTGACTTTTGGCATTCCAATCCCCAGCTACGATAAATCTGCTACCCAGAGAGTCGAATACCTGTTTAAATTGTGTATCAGTCCATTCGTGTGCAGGTGGACAATAGATCGCACCAATGTTTATTGTTTGATGGTTTTTTATTGTTACAGCTGTGGTGCACATTTGGATGGAGTCCTCTC